CCTCTCAGCCCCCTTTCCCCCGGCCCCACCCGCCTCAGGTGTTCTCCACGCCGCACGGGCTCGAGGTGCACGTGCGCAGGTCTCACAGCGGCACGAGGCCCTTTGCGTGTGAGATATGCGGCAAGACCTTCGGGCACGCGGTGAGCCTGGAGCAGCACAAAGCCGTGCACTCACAGGTAAGCGGGGTCGGGGGCGGGGAGCGCACGACGGCCTCGCACAATCCTGCCTAGGCTTTCGCGCGTTCAGAGATCCTCAGGGTCTCTGTGCAGCACCGGCTGCTCTCCACCTGGTGGTTTTCTCCTTGGGCTTCCTGGGCTGCCCCTAGTCTCCTCGGCCATGTCCCCTTGCCTCGGTGTGTAGGGAAATGTGGGTGGCCGGCCGCCTCGGCAACCCTAGAGTTTGGTGTCACTGGGAGCCTCCAGACTGTGATCCTGTTCATTACTTTGAGTTTGTATGCACCCTTGCTGCTGACATGTCGGATTTATTAGCTCGGTTTCGTTCTCTCAGCTAATCTGCATTGATCCCAGCATACTTGTCCTACTATGCTTTCATTCATTCGTTTAAAATATTTGTTGCCCAACTTACAGGTGCTACGCACATGCGAATCCTATAACACACCGGGTCCCTGAAATGATGCCCCCCCCCCAACCACGGAGATTACAGTTTAGCCGAGAGACAGAAGATAGATAAGCAAAGTAGTGCAAAGTAACTATGACAGAACAGTGCTTACTTACAGATACTTATTTACTGAAAAGAGTATTCTCTCATCTCAACACCCTCGGCTGGCTGGAGGGAGGGGGCATCTCAAGTGAAAGAGGTCGAAGCCTCCTGTTGAAGAGGGTGGAGGAGTTATTGTAAATGGGTGTCAAAAAAGCAGGGTGGGGATACAGTTTTGCCCTGGGGCGTGGAGGGTTGTGGGTGAAAAGTGTTCTGGTAGAAAAAAATGTTAAAGGGGAAGAGGAGAGGGGTGGGGAAGGTAGAGGTTGGATATGAATGGGAAGGGAGAGGATAAGGGGCTCAGGCTAATTGGAAAGGGAGTCTGAGAGAAGGGAAAGCCCTGGTTTTGAGTCAGGTCCGTGGTAAGCAGAACGGCAGCCTAGACGACTGCAAGCAGAATGCCACACTTTTCTCTCCACAGGAAAGGAGCTTTGACTGTAAGATCTGTGGCAAGAGCTTTAAGAGGTCATCGACGTTGTCCACACACCTCCTCATCCATTCAGACACCCGGCCCTACCCCTGTCAGTACTGTGGCAAGAGGTTCCATCAGAAGTCTGACATGAAAAAACACACCTTCATCCACACTGGTGAGCTAAGGCCCTTGGCTTGTAGGAAACACCCAGTGAGGGATGGGGGGCCAGGGGTACGTTCCTCCCCCTGAGGCCAATATAATCCACCATCTTTGTGAGAGTCTGCCCCCTGGAATGAGTGGCAAATGAGGCCTAATCACTGCAGAGTGTAAACGAAAGCAAAGCAGATTCTCTGAGGTTCATTTGCATACATGGTTCTCCCCAGAGGGGCCTTGATTTGGGATTCTATCTGAAGAACCACTGGGCAGGTCAGCTGCAGGTTCCCTATCCTGACAAAGAATATTTTCCTCTAATTTAGCAGCTGCTCCAACTGCTGCCTGCTCTGGGTGAAATATGAAGCCCCAGGGTCCTCTCAGAGCCATTGCTCTAAATGTTTACCTAGAGGTGGAGGACTTTCTCTAGGGCTCCCACCCAGCCTTTTGGGGGAGGGATTTATGTGTGGCCTCTTGGCTGCATTTTTAGGAGTCTGAGAGCTTATTCTGAGTGAGGGGGGAACAACAATGGTAAATATGACTGCACTGTCTGCTAAGCACTTTATAAATGCATTATCATTTTATGCTCACAACTCTGGGAGAAAGAGACTATTCTTTATTCCCATTTTAGAGATGAGGGAAGTGAGGTCCATAAGGGTTCATTAACCCGCCCAGGGTTACGTTGCTAGCAAGTGGCAGGGCCAGGACTTGCATTCTGCTCTGTCTGACCTCAAGTGTCTGTGCTCTTGACCACTGTTTATTGTATTCTATTTTCAGAGTCATGGGGGTTGGTAGATATAAAAAGCTTCTATTCGCTTATTGCGCTTTTAAGAACATCAGCAAGTTCACGACATAGTCATGATAATTCTTTGTCTATTACAATGCTTTATAATTTATAAAGTGCTTTTAAGTCTGTCACTTTATTTGATCCTTACTGCCGTCCCATAAAGTAGGAGCTGAAATCACCATCCTGAAATTCAGAGAGATGGGATGATTTACCAAAGGTCAGGGCCCATGGAATGCTCTGGCTTCCAGTTCTGTACTCTTTCCCTGAGGTTTGGATTGTGTGCAGGTGGCAGTTTTAATGCCAGGAGCACTCTCTTTAATAGTCAACAAGACATTAGAACCAGAAATCTGACTATTTTATTTCAGAATAGGAATACTGATTTTTTAAAAATTGCCGTGTGTTCCAAACACCTATCATTAATGTTTATAAATATGCTTGGGCACTGCAGATGGCCCCATCAGAATATCCAGAAAAATAGCCTATTTTAACCATGCCCTCTTGCCTGAAATTTCCATGTAACCCACTCCTTTTAGTAGAGGTATTCAAGACGCTTATCAAAATGCAACTAGGATCTTGACTGAATGGAACAGTAAGCCCTTATCAAACATTTACATTATAGCTAGAATTCGTTTCTCAGATTTGTTTGACCCTAAAGGGATAGGATACATTTTGATGGGTGGCTCCTTATCAAGGAAATCTGAAGCAGGAAGACAGAAAGAGGTGCGGCAAGAGGGACTGAGGGTTTCTCAAAAACAAACGTCATCTCTTTTGCATTTTTTCCAGGGTCCAGCCCTATGCCATACTGAGACTATTTGGAAATCCATGCTATTTCCCCAAATGTTAAACCAGCTCATGAATTGGGGGAAAATAGAAAACTTTTTCAATGTTATTTATTAATCTGTGGTGAAGAGTTGCTAGTATATAAAGAACCCTCTGATTAACCTCGTAAAAAGAAAGTAAAATCAAGATAGAAAAGGATCAGCTACCTTAAGAAATACTTTGTGGCCCTAGCTGGTTTAGCTCAGTGGATAAAGCATCGGCCTGCGGACTGAAGGGTCCCAGGTTCGATTCCAGTCAAGGGCACCTGCCTGGGTTGTGGGCTCGATTCTCAGTTCGGGGCGTGCAGGAGGCAGCCAATCAATGATTCTCTCTCATCATTGATGTTTCTATCTCTCTCTTCCTCTCCCTTCCTCTCTGAAATAAAAAAGAAAAAAGAAAGAAATACTTTGTGGCCCAAATGTGGATTTTAAAAAACAAGACTGTAAGAAATCCCCATGCTTCAGATGCAGTCTATTGTCCTTCAGGAGCAGGAAAGAAGACAGGCTCACTGGTCCATACAAAGCAACACCTGCTTGGAAACTCAGATTTGAAAACTTCCTCTGAATTAGAACAGTCACATGGTTTGAAGAGCCGCCCCCACCCTTCTCCCCACCCCTCCTGCTGACCATCTGCTGTGGGAGCGCTCTGCTTCTAAAGTCACGGGAGTCCTCCCAGTGTGGCTTCAGCTGTGAGCTTGGGGAGGGCACGTGGCCTTTGCTGTTTCCGTTTAGCAGGAAACGGTTTGAGGCCTTTGGCTGGGAACCCCCACTCAGAAAGTCTCCCTTTCACCTGGTTCCCCCCTGGCTCCCGGGGACTTGCGTTGCAACACATCACCCTCCACGTCACCTGAAGGCCTTAGACCGGGTGCTGCCAGCTGCCGTCAAGAGCATGTGGGTCACAGAGAGTCCCCTCTGGCTTCATCACAGACTCATACTTCCTCCCCTCCCCCCTCCATTCCTGCAGGTGAGAAGCCCCACAAGTGCCAGGTGTGCGGCAAGGCCTTCAGCCAGAGCTCCAACCTCATCACCCACAGCCGCAAGCACACAGGCTTCAAGCCCTTCGGCTGTGACTTGTGTGGGAAGGGCTTCCAGAGGAAGGTGGACCTCAGGCGGCACCGGGAGACGCAGCACGGGCTCAAATGAGTGCCCTGGCGGGCCACGCGCAATCACACAACACTAGGGAGGGCGGCCTGCCCACTGGCCAGCAGCCGCTCCTGACTTCTCAGGCCCCCGAGGCTGCAGATCCCACCTGGGTGAGCCCCCAGAGGGGATGTTACCTTTTTAAGGTTCATCCAGGAGTGGGATCCAAATGACTCTGGGTGCCTTGGACATAGGGAACGGCCCCTCGAAACGTGAAGTCTTGTATCTTGGGACCCTCTGTCCTGCTCCCAAGACAGGAAGGCCCTTCAGGTTTCTTCACTCCTCCTCCTGCCCGACCCCAGATACTTGTGTGGAAGAGGAGGAATCACTATTTACAAGGTGGACACACGTTAATGCCGTTATCGTTTTAAATCCAGAATGAAGAAGGAGTATTTTTATTTTCATTTTGGGGGGTCCGCTGACCCCTTTCTGTGAGGTGCTGCCTGTAACTCTTGGAGGAATCATTTCTCCCACTTGAAGACGGTTTCAGAAACTGATTTGGGGAAGTAGTTTCATACTTTTGAAGTGACAAGCCACACTGAACAGCCTGGCCCCAAGAAAGAGTTCAAGAACAGTGGGCTTGGTGATGAGAAGAGATTAGAGGCCGGCGAAGGCTTCATCAGAGGAGGTGAAAGCACAGAGCAGCGCCTTAGGACAAGATAGCATCCATTTACTCAGCAAATGTTTGTTGGCCACCGGTTACCATGGTACCAGGCCCTCCGCTGGATACGGGGGAACCAGATACTAAGGTCATGGCCCCGGGCTAACAGTCACACCTCCAGTGGCTGGGTCTGTGCTTTTCCTCCGAAGGAATTCCGAGAGGACAAAGCAGAATCGTGAACCTTCCCTTCGGACCCCTTTGGATTTCATCAACCACAAACAAAACATAACTGAACAGATACTTCAAAGATGTGTGTGAATACTCAGTTTTTTACTGTTCACCTGAATTTTTTTAAAGATGCCTAAGCTAGCAGGTGTGGGGGAGTGAAGGCTCTGTCTTCGACACTTAGCCCTTCCATGTGCTCCATAGAGAGAAAAAAATGGTATTTTCCTTTGGCGAGGTTTATAAATGTTTTTAGATCTTCTGGAGTGCATTATGTTTGTTCATACATATTTATTAGAGTGATGTTTTAAGTTAATAAAGTATTGAGATGCTTACAGATTGCTTTTTTTAATTTTTTATTTAGGCAGGGGATTTGTGCAAGCCCTTTGGTTTAGTCTGTAGGGGGCGTTGGCACTGAAGTAAAGCCGACGAGCCACCATCCAGAAGCGGGTGGAATTCAGTTGCTCTGGGTTTCCGATGCTTCTTTTCTTTTCTATGCCTCAGAGGGTCTTATTTATTAATAGAAAAACGAGGTGCACAATATGAGGCTCCTACCTCGTAGAGTCTCTGACAGTCGAGCATGTAAAGAGTGTCCCAAAATTCACGCAAGAAGTAATTTTGATAGAAAACACGGGTTTATAATTAAAAATTGTAAATTTTTTATTGAGTCATAAAGTATACAGTATAGGGTTATGTATGGAATAGTACATCGGGTAAATGGCCTCCACGGCTTTGCTGGCACATAGACAAAGCTGTGGTCTTCATTGTCCCTGCTCCTGGGCCATAATTGGTACTTGGTAATGCTTATCAAATTGAAGGTATTGAAATCAAAGGGCAACAGATATTAGAATCTGATTCAATAAACCAAGTAAAATTAGGCTTTTATTTTTGTTGTTGTTGTTGTTAATGCTCACACAAAATTCAAATCTTGCGTGAACTTTGGGACACCCTTTACACAGGCTCTTTTTTCTGAGTGTTTCAGAAGAAAGGACAGAGGGTTGTGAGATGAATAAAGAAATCACAAACCTGAGGTCTAGAGATTGAGTCTTAATCGCAGCTGTCACCAACACACCATGTGACTTGGGCAAATCCTGTGACCTCCCTGATATCAGTTTCCGTGACTATAAAATGTAGATATGGTTGTATCATCCCAGTATAACCCTGACTACTTTGATTCTGTGGAGACTGGAAAGATGGTATCTGAGATTGGTTAGCTGCTATGCCCAAGGTAAGTTACAAATCTAAAGATGCATGAGGGGCAGGGAAATTGCTCTCTGGGTTATTTCTGGCTCTATCCACCTATGGGAATTTCTTGCACAAATCAATTCCTTAAACCAGAATAAGTTGCTGGCCTAAATCCCAACTACCTATAGCTTTTTTAAAACATCTCCAGCCAAGGTATGCATGACTCATGGTGACCACCATCAGACTGTCCATTTCTGTTCAAATCAACTTCACACATATTGATTGAACACCTACTATGTTCCTGGCACTGTTCTCAGTGCTGGGATACAGAGGTGAGCACAGTATCTTGCGGAGCTTTATTTATTTGGTCACTGCTGAATCTTCCAGAACAGTGCCTGGCACATAGTAGGAGATCAATAAATATTTACTGTCCGGCCAGTGTGGCTAAGTGGTTGAGTGTCGACCCATGAACCAAGAGTCATAGTTTCTTTTCTTTTTTCTTTTTTAAATATACTTTATTGATTTTCTACAGAGAGGAAGGGAGAGGGATAGAGGGTTAGAAACATCAATGAGAGAAACATCGATCAGCTGACTCCTGCACACCCCCTACTGGGGATGTGCCTGCAACCAAGGTACATGCCCTTGACTGGAATCGAACCTGGGACCCTTGAGTCTGCAGGCTGATGATCAATCCGCTGAGCCAAACCGGTTAGGGCTGGAGGTCATAGTTTCTTGATTCCTGGTCTGGACACATGCCCAGGTTGCGTGCTCCATCCCCAGTAAGGGGCGTGCAGGAGATAGCCGATCAAAGATTCTCTTTCATCATTGATGTTTCTGTCTCCCTTCCTCTCTCTAAAATCAATTTAAAAAACACATATTTAATAAATATTTGCTGAGATGTTAACTGAATAAGCAGACAATGTAAACTCCTGCTTGCTCCTGGTTGGCTCTGTTCCTTACAGCATAAAAGGAAGAGAAATTGCAGGAAATAAACAACATATAGGACTCTGAGTTGGTGGGTCACGGGGGCTTTGACGCTGCTTTTCTCCAGTTTCTCCAAAATCTCAGTCCTCCATGTCGGTTTATTCTCATTCAAAATTTAAGTTTGTTTGGTCTATAATGCAAGTTTAAGATAATTTTCCAGAACTGATGGGTGAACAGTTGCAGTATCCAGGAACCTCTTCCTAGTGTCCTGAGAAGCAAAGTTCTCTGAATAAATATCAAAAACTTCCTTCCCACAGAATTCACCATGTACACTGGTTGAGAATTTCCAACCTGGTTTGAAAAGTAAAGAGGGTGCATGGAGGGGTAAGTAGAACTGATTGAACTGACTGAAATCTAGTTGTCTGTTTAAAACTTTTGGTCCATTTTCATAATCCCAGTTTACGCTATACATGAGGAGTTTTAATTTTTATGTTAACAGTGTGCCTTTTTTGCGGGGAGAAAATACCTTGATATCCCCAATGCAGAATCAAAACAAATTACTGTGCCTGGTACTGTGTGAAATTTGAAGATTGCAAATATCTCTCTTAATGTTATTACTTGACTCCATTAAAAATAGATTGTGAATATTCCATGTCACATTATTCATGAGGCAGGCCCTGTGTCTTTTGTCTGCTGGAGTAACAGTAGAAAGGGTAACAGGAGACACCAGAGCACACCTTTGTTTCTTTCACTAAATTTTTAATAACACCTCCAGCCAGCCAGTTGGTGAAGCTCAGCTCTTGCATAAAAGTGGAAAAGCACAGCTATCTCAGAGAAGACCAACTCTTTCAGTAGCTAATTCGAGTTTGCGTTCATCTACACCAGAGATGATTAAATTACCTATCAAGTGTGCTGAGCTATCAGGATTCAGGCCACCACGTAAAAGGTGAATTTCATCTGATTGATTTGAGACATGAATGGAACAACTGAGTTTTAAAAGCCCCGCCTTCGTTAAAGGCACAGTAAAGTGTCTCCCCGGGGCCAGTCCTTGACTGCAATTGCCCTTGAAAATTGGGTGGCAATAGTGATTTGACCCTACTCGTTTTGTTGTGTGCCTGTTTGTTTAACTGGATTAACAGAAAGACACACATTCAGTGGAAGGCCCGAAAGGACTCGTCTACTGTCCACTGTGCATGTCTAGAGCTCTATTTGTCTAAATCTCTGCTGCTATATTATTCCTGACACTTGTCAGCAAGTCCATGATATAGTTCATTCATTGAGTCAAATTTTAAAAATTAAAAATAAATTTTACCCCAAACCCTTCTAGCTTAAGTCCATATTTTTTTCCTTAATGTCCTTTCTGATATTTACCTATGTGTGTGTATATGCACATTTTACATTTTTACCCTGTGATCAGAGTATTTACAATTTATGTCTAGATAGCTCTCTTATTTATAGTATGGACACATACTCAAAATTGAAATACGTACTTATATTTCACAATGAGAATTTAGACAATTTTTATGGTTAAGATTTATTGAAATCTGAGCATTTCTTAGGAATTTTATCAGCCATTAGCATAAAGTCTTTTCTGAAGTTTTACCTTAAAGTTATTTACTTTTTAAATAAAACATTTCAAGCATATAGGAAATTACAGAGCATAATACAGTAACCATCATTCTACCATATTTCTTCTGATTTTATTTTTGAAATAAAATATTACAGGCAGGTTGACTATCTTCTGGAAAATGTTCTTCCCTAACCCCATTTCCTTTCTGCTTTCTGCAGAGGCATCCACTATTCCAAAGTTGATACATGTTATTGACATGAATATTTTTATGCCTTTCCTTACATATGTCACCATAAATAATATGTAATACTATTTAGCATATTTTTAACTTAATACAAGTATTATTGCAGAGTATATATACTTCGCATCTTGCTTTTTTCCCCCTCAACACTTTGTTTCTGAGGTGTATCCATGTTGGTACATGAAGTTTTGCTCATTTATTTTAACTGCTGCACGTAGAACTCCGTCGCAGGATTACTTGGTGATTATTTATATATTCTGTTGGAAGAGTTTTGGTTATTTCCAGTTTTCCCTATCACAATTCTGAAGTGAGCCATCTTGTACTTGTCTCCTTGTAGAGAGATTTTGTTAGGATATATTCCTGGAAATGCTGGATATTACCAGTGTTCTCCAAAATAATGATATCAATTTATATTTCTACCAATAGTATAAGAGAATTCCTTTTGCTCTACCTTTAAGCAACACTTGGTATTGTTAGACTTTTAAAATGTTTGCCAATCAGATGGATGTGAAATATTATTATAATTTGCATTTTATGGTTGCTAGTGAGGTTGACTATCTTTACATAAGTTTATTGGCCTGACAGGCTTCCTTTTCTGTGAATTGCCTATTCATGTACTTTATCCATTTTTTTAGTTGGGTTGCTTGCTTTTTATCAATTTATTTTAAAAAATATATTCGAAGTACTTACTGTTTTGTTAGTTAAGTGTGTTGATACGTCTCCTAATTTGTAACTTGCCTTTTCACTTCGGTTAAAGAGAGAATTTTTTAAAATTTGCTTTAGTGTTATTGTAGTCAAATGTATGAGTCTTTTTCTTTATGCTTTTTATAGCTTAAAAAAAACTTCCTTAGTTGGTGGTCATAAGCTCACCCCCTGTATTTTCTTCTAGAAATGTTAAAATGCTTGCTTATAATATTAGCTTTTAGTCCACTTTTGTGTATATGATGTGAAATAGGATCTAATTTTAAAAAAAATTTCCACATGGATAACAATTATTCCAGCATTATTTATTGCAAATTACATCCTTTTCTCTGAGTTTGTAATGCTCTGTGATATGTCAAGCTCTGTACAATTCTGTCTGTGGGCTTCTTAATCTTTTCCACTGGTCATTTTGTCTATGTCTATGCAAATGCCATAGTGTCTTAATTAAACTTATAATAAAATCTTAGTAGCTGGTAGGGAAGGTTTCCCTCTGACTTCTTTCAACCTCTTCAGCAAAATCTTGGCTACATCTGGCCCTTTACTCTGGCTTGTGAAAACCTCTGTTAGAATTTTTATTTGTACTACATTTATTATTTAACTGAGGAGAATTGAAATCATTTTTATATTGATTCTTCTCATCCATAAACATGGTACATTGTTCATTTATTTAGGTCTCCTTTTATGTCTTTCAGTAACATTTT